TCATTATTTACCAATTACTGTTATATATTGTTGTTGTTTCGCGATTATTACTAATTATTGCTGTAATTATTCGCCATTTGTTATTGTTTTCGAAATTGTTATTGTTACGCTGTGGTTTCGACTACAGCCTTGGCTTAACTTCGTTCAATGCCGACTTATGCTCTCCAGATCAATCCCATTGACGGGTGATTGTTGATGGCACTGATCGATAGGACTAGCTGAGAGACAAACGAGCGAAACGAAAGACCCGCATGCTGTGATGGTGAACGCGTTAGACCCCGGAAAGGGTAATAGCGAGTTCGTTCCTCGCCACAGACACCTGCATTCCGGAGATTTTGCAAATATCTCAGCATCATTGGGATTATTCTTATTGTCATTATTGCCATTACTAGTGAAACTCTTGTTTACGTTATTATTATTATTGTTGTTGTTCCCAGGATCGGCTTTCTATTAACCTCGGCATTGGAATATGAATGTCGTTTTCTTGTTCAGCAATCGCGAGGTTTTTAAAAGCATACATTTACTTCCATAGAGAAACACAATACAATACAACGCTAGCTGACGTTTCGGCAGTATCGCCTTCTTCAGAGCCTGGAAGGGTATACTGATATACAATCTACTAGGCCAATAACAATAGGCCAATAACCTAAGCTTCAATAACACTTACAAAAAGACGAAAAACTCTGGTAATTACACGGTAAACAACTCGAAAAACCCACCGCTTTTTCGTGACTTCCAATGAAGAAGTTTAAAACAGCTGATTATAGTCGCATATGGTTGACGACTGCACCATCCCACATCAAAAATCCGTGCGAACATACGGGGTCAGGTCGCGTATGACCTCCGGGCATTCGTCCCTGCTATTCATTGTAGGGTTTTTGGCATTTATCCAAAAAGCCTCAAGGAGTTTTCGCGCTGGTGTTTTGGACTCCTATGCAAGGATATTGACTTTTACTTCAAAATAGTCTCCACTATGCTTTTGTATCCTATGCGTGCCTAGTGGGGTGCTTCGTCTTAGTTTTCGTTTGCCATCTAGGTGTTCTTTTATACGGATACACAAAGGTCTGCCCGTTTCGCCAATATATTCATCTCCGCAATTGTTACACGAGATCAGGTATATCGTACCTCAACTCATGCAACCACCGTCCCTGCCGTAAGGGCAAATTATGCAGTTTGTTGTTTCACACAGACGGTCATACAGGCGGTTACGAACTAATTGACGACGTAAAGTAGCCGGTGGTATTTCAACTATCGCTACCGATTCCTCTAGACGTGCCCTTCTTAAGCATCGTTCTATAGCCACGCTTACTTCATCGCTTATAAAAGGCAACATAAACGGGACTTTCTTTTTTGGCCAAGTGTTTCGCGTGGGCGCGTCGTTCTCCTTTTAAACTTATCTCGTGGGGTTACTATTTTGTAGCCATTGGAGATGGCTATTTGCCGAGCCAAGTCGCGCGATTCTTCCTTCAGTTCCCTGGTAGTGCACACAAAGGTGGCTGTTCGAAACATGTTTCTCACAATCGCCCTCTTTGTGTGAAGGGTGGGAAGAAAGGAAATGAACAAGAATGTTCTTGTTACTTGGCTTTCAATACCACTTTGTCAGGTAACCGCTACTTGATAGGTTTATTTGAACGTCAAAAACGGGAGCCAGTTTTTTCTCGGTTTCTCCCGGGTGAACTTTATGTACTCGGACTGATCGTTCAATAATTCAAAGCATTTGTCCATCTCCTCCTGCGTAGAGAAGACGACAAAACAATCATCTACATATCTGCAGTAGAGTAGTGGCCGGAGATCGAGAACAAGGGCTTCTATCTTAGTCATGAACACAATGGCAAGGCTGGGTGCCAATCGCTGTCCCATTGCCAACCCCCTTATTTGCGCGAAATATTTCCCAGACCATCTGTAAATCGAGCAGTTTAGGCACCACTTTAAGAGAGCCATTAGCTGCTGGATGGACAAGCCATGTATATTCATTCTTCCTTCATGTTCAACAAGAAATTCGAGATGGCTTGCATTGCGGAGTCATTCGACACATTGGTGTACAGTGCGGTAACGTCGAAAGGCTCCATCACGTACGCGTTATTAGGAGACGCGTTACGTAGACGTTCTAGGAACATTGGGTTCGAAATTCGAAAATCTTTTGGGTAATTCTTCGTATTTTTGTTGAGCAAACGCGAGGTGTTATTATTCTTTGTTCACGATTAAGCTGACGTTTCGGCGAATTTCGCCTTCCTCAGAGCCTGGAAAGGTCAAGTTGATAGCAATCTACTCGGCCAGACGCCTCCATAACCAAACAAAGAAACTCCAAACCAAGATTTCAATCACATTGAACACAGCTTTGCACACTCACCGCTTTCTATGAGGTTTCCACTAAGTATGTCACGTAGAGACCAACGGCACAAAAATCACATGGAAGCGTAATTTGCCCCTCCCATCAGAATAGCAGTCTTATATACTGCCCTATATCACGCGTGATAATGGGGCATTCTTCCCTGCGGTTCATTTTTGGATTTCTGGAATTATCAATATGTATTCCTTCTTGATAAGCTTTCACGAGGTTGATAAATATATTCATTTTCGGCTAACGTTTCGACGTCTTCGTCTTCCTCAGAGCCGGTGATCCGAGTCGATGGTCCATGCTCGTTGTTCGCTTCGACGTTGCGTCTTCGCCTTCCTGTCGAGCCAGATCTTCCTCAGTGAGCCATCTTCTCGAATGAGGCATCCTCACTCAGTGATGCCCTTTTATAAACGATGCTGATGGTGGATATATAATGACAATGTCCGGTGGTAACAACTTGTATTTCTTCCAGACATACATCATTGCACACATCGTGCAGAGGTCGGTGTATTATCAGCTAGCACAAAGCGTAGTAATATTTCGAAACCGACCTTCCCTATACGAAGCATTATACGAAGCATTATACGAAGAATACGAAGCATTAGCCAGGCGGAACGAATGCTTGGCAAGTTTGATAACGAATGTGGAAAGATTGGTCTTTGACTCAGTCTCACAAAAACGATGTTCATGAGGAAGGGATGGGTTGCGCATGTTTAGATCGTGAAGACAACATAATGAACGAATTAGCCCCAGAATTGAGGACCAGGTAGCAATTAGTTTGCGGAGCTTTCTAGAGCGTTGAGGATGTAGTGGAGAGAACAAAGAACACCAGATTCCGTGCCCACCTTTTCGACTCAACGGTACTTCCTGCCCTAACATACACGTCAGGAACCCGGTCGCTGCGCAAGCAGGATCAAAAACCACTCGGCCTTATTGAATGCGTATTTGAAAGGTGGTGCTAGGGGTATCACTTGCTACACAAGTGATGGAGTGGACCCGAAGCCCCAATTTATATGAACAACCAAAAGTGAAAAATGCTGTTCTATACACCAAATTGTCGAAAACAAGCGGCCGGACATGTAACGGTTAAAAAATACAACCAATACAACCCTTGGACAAAAGCCATTAACGACTGAATTCTTCGGAATGTTAAACGCACAGCAGAATAGCCATCGACCCAATGGTCAGAGTTCTTCACGAAAACTCTATAAGAAGGATATGGTGCTTAACGAGTTCCTACAGCTGGCAGAACCTGCTGGGCGACTCTTGCATGCGACAGGGAGAAATTAACGATTTACTGGTGTCCGCTCGAGTCACTCGGCGATCAACGGGACTTCAAGTGATAGGGTTGATTGTGGTTGATAGTTATCCTATAGAGTTGTGGATACAAAAAAATGTTGATATAGAAACTTATAAAACACTTCCAAATGCAGAGAGTAATGTGTTTGTGCGTGTGGCGCAGTGGTTGGAGGCGTCACTGTGACACGCACGTGGAGTAGATCCCCGCGCCCATGACCCACCGAACCTTCCATCTCTCCGGAATCGGAAATTGGTGCCAGACTTGTCCGGGAGGATAGCAGCACTGGCTCGATACATCGGTAGGCCACCGTGAGTCATTGTTAAGGCCAGATATGCATTCAATCACCTACAACGATACTTAATGAAGCCGAATGCATCCCTCAGGGATTGATCAACGCCGAGAGCTTTATCCTTTATTTCATCCTTTTATTTATGCGTATTTATGCACATATATGTGAGCATAATTGTTATGTATATTGGATATACAAATCTAGCTTTTTTCAATTAGCCTGTAGATACCGGAGTACTCGAATACTCCAACTACCCAACAGTTATCGGCACTCAACGGTAAACCTCCATGGTTGTCAAAAGGCTGCAACCATCTCCAGTGGCCACTTCGCTGATTACATTCGATAATTACAGCGGAGTGAAAAACATCTTGAGCATTCTCTCGTGACTAGTCGGTTCACGATCTCGTCACACAAGCTTTGTTCCAGGCTTGGCAACTACGAATTTTCCCCATTATCCTAACATCTCAAAAATCGATACACTGCTTCAGCCGACAGCTGGGAATGGCTAGCGAAAGCAGCGAGCACGCACATGTGCAAGGATCTCCGACATTGGTTCCACTTCTCTGTGGAGTCATGGCTATATTCTGCTTACTTTCCACTATAGCTGATGACTGTCTTTCTCTTTCGTTGCTTTTCAAGCACACGATTTGTGGAACCTGTTAGTTCCAGAACTGATCAGCTTTAATGGTGAAAATGTATAAAGCCTTACGTGGAAGCTGGTCTATCAAATCTTACCCAATGGTTCCATTTGACATGCAAATGTTGATAAATCTTTTTTAACTAAGCGAGACTACTTGACAGATATTTTTACTAGAAAGCAAATTTAACGTGTTTGTATATTGCTCAGCAGTAGTAGGTATGGGTACAACATTGTTCGAAATATTTTTATATTAAACGGACGCCAATTAAACCTGACAGAACTGCTATACAAACAAGTAATGACAGCGTCCTATGTTTGCTCACAACGATTTCAGTTCGAACTGTTAGCTTACGCTCAACATTCACACTACAAGCTCATAAAGAGACGTAAGTAAATTTCTTGCAAACAGTTCATTAACACTTATGCTGGCCTCTCATTGTTCCACGTCTGACACCGGTTCGACTTGTCTCATAAGTTGATTACATATGTCCCGGAGCTCGGCAGCTTCATTTTTCTAAACAGTAACAAGTTGCTGGTGTTTCTAGACTCTTAGTACACCACAGTAGACCAATGGAGATCGCATTTGTCCTGAAGTATCAGAAATCACACCTTAATTTCCAATTCTCGTTGATGCGACTTCAGATCCATTTCGAGATGACGTACTTTTAGTTTCAATCCCACAAGACTCTCATCTCTTTCGCGAAGACAATCCGCCATGTCTTTCGAGGCTCTGCAATTTCACTATTAACAACAGTTTGTGTCGTTATTAAATAGCAATTTGAACTTTGATGATAAATGTTTGCTCATATGATGTTCTTCCGAGACTTTCACCTTCCCTACATCATTATGTGCATCAAACATCAAAACATCATTCTAAACATCAAAAAGGATAAAGAAACTTTGTTTAGAGTTCCTATGTTTGTTACAGTTTTAATATAAGAATACACCGATCGATTACATCTTTTTTGATGGTTACATTACTTTGGAGTTAATAGAAATTATTAGAGCATTTGTTAGAAAGTCATTCTGTATTACTATTATTTATTTCCAACGGTTTACCGTCTCATGGTGGCTGGGAGGTGTTCCTGAGTGTCAGGCTGCGATGTGCAGCGACCCCCGCAAAGGTCTCCCAAGCAGAGAAAGAGTCCGGCTCTCCATCATGAAGCCCAGTTAAGAGTAAACCAATACCAGGATTTACCACCGTCCTGGTATGAAGCTAATGGCATGGTGGCAAATCTTCTTCTCTGATCCACAAAGGCAACGACTGCCTATAGTGGTGACGACCTGGGGCAGACTTTGGCCAGACTGACCTCGACACTCCAGGGAAGCACGGTGACTGAAACAGCAAAATTCTGAAAAATAGAGGATACACTGTGGGCCCCACAACCAGTGAGGACGGGCCGTTCAAGTATGCAAGTATTTTATCACTTTATTTTTTGAAGAAACATCAGATATTGCATTTATTGTAGTAAACTGCCAGATTCCTTTGATTGCGTATAATCTCTAAAACAGAAAAAATTGGAGATTCAAGAAAGACGTTGACTGATCATCGAAACCACATGAATGACGTACTGGTCTAGCTTTTTTTGCGCATCCTCCCTTAAGCGACTCATCTTTCCTTGAATAATTTTGATTTCTTCCACTTTCTCAACAAATTTGTCGTGCAAAGCAGAATATTCCTAAAATCGTTCCCACGCTCACTTGTGAAATCTACGAAGAACAATGAAAAAGAAAAAACTTTGGTGGATGTACCATTTTCTGCTCCTCGGCAACTTTTCGCAGCTTCTTGTACGACTCGAAGAGTTTACCGTAGTCATCGTGCATAGAGTCCAGCTCTGCCTTTAAAGTATCACGTTCCCTTAAAACATAAACTTTTCCTTGATATATGTATATATATATATATATACACCTACATTTATATTTCCTATATATATGCATGTACATGTGTGTGCATACATCATACATATATACACACGTACACATATATATATATATATATATATATATATATATATATATATATATATATACTTGACACTTGAACGGCCTGTCCTCACGAGTTGTGCGCGCCTCAACATAATCACCATTTTTCGGAGATTTTCTGGTTAAGCCATTGTGGTTCCACGGGACCTCTAGCACAGCCTGGCAAAAGTCTGCCCCAGGTCGTCACCACGACAGGCAGTCGCAGCCCTTGTAGATCAGAGGGAGATTTACCATCATGCAACTTTGATACCAGGACGGTGGTGGGTCCTGATATTGGTTTACTCCTAGCTAGGCTTCCTGATGGAAACGCCAGACTCTTTCTCATCTTGGGAGACCCTGCCGTGAGGACGAATTCCCTCGTTGTACATCGCAGTCTGACACCCAGAAACAACTCCCAGCCACGATGAGGCGGTAAACCATTGGGATATATATATATATAATATATAATACATATACATATATAATATATGTATACACATGTATATATGCTTTGTTGTGGTAGTGTAGCGGAACAGTCAGTGGTGCCATCGATAAGGAAGCAAGTGCGCTAGTTCAATGCTGACCCAATGTTCTTCCTTAATCTAGGTCAGAACGCTTTAAACCAGTTATCCTCAAGATTGGAAGGAGAATTGGCTCGACCAGCAATCTACGACAATCATAAGGAAGACATTCCCAAGTAGCAACTGAAACAACATGCGAAATGTTCGCAGACCACTGTGGACGATGAATGCAGGAAAACGAATCAAATGCAAGAAGTGCTGTGATCCCGCACAGTAGATGTGAAGACGACTCGCGCAAAATAAAAAAATGTGTACGTATACAGTACATACGTACACATATACATTATTTTTTATATTTGTTTTACAGGACTGGTCATCACAACTACTACGCACATCGAGCACTTCTCGCACTCCACTCATTTTCTTTGTATTCATCTTCATAAAAATACTCGAACATTTCGCGTGTTCCCATGACCGACTTTCCTTTAACCTCGGCATTGATTGATAATTCGATGTTTTTCTTCAATAAGCAGACACGACGTTGTTATTATAGAATTTATTCGAATACAATAGATGAAGTTTCGGCGGTTTCGCCTTCTTCAGAGCCTGGAAAGGTCAAATTGAGATGCGATCCACTGAGCCAAATACTTTCATAACCTTAGCAAATAAAATTTAACCAAGAAAATTGTATTCGCATACGAAATAGCTTCATTTAAACACCTACCGTCTATTTGTTGTAAGTATTTAAGTTAGTTGATGGACAGCCGCCGCAGAGAGTAATACATGGGCGATAACTGTGTCTGTGTCAGGTCATTGGATTAACCCGAGGTATCGCACCAGGTCACGCATGATGACAAGACACTCCTCCTTGCGGTTCATTTTTGAATTTTTGGAATTGATCCAAAACGGTTCAAGAGTTTTACGCGGTGATGTTTTCGATTCGTGCGTGAGTACAGTGACTCTTCAAAATCTACTTCAAAATCTTCTCCGTTGTGATCCTGCATCCTATGTGCGCCTAGTGGAGTTGAGACTTTGAGAGTTTCGCTCAAAAATATACGAAATTTAAATCGACTTCGTCGTGTGAGTCTTGTTGTCTAAAGAATAACCGAGGAAATGCAGGTGGTAGTAGTACCCCTACTTCTCGTTGTTCCTTTTTATTTCGTGTCTCAATTCTAGCGTTGCTTCGGAGTTGACCTTGGAGCCTCTCCTCTCATCCTTCACACACTAAAAGGGCGCTTATAAGAAATATGTTTCGAACTGCTGCCAGCGTTTACACAGGTAGAGATCAGAGGGAAGAATCCTCGAAATTGGCGCGCCAAATAGCCATTTCAAATAGCTACGAAACTGTAGCTTCTCGGCATAGGCATAGAGGAAAACCTACAACCCAGAGCGATAATCATAACGAAAACAATGCTCCGTTCCTCTTGCCCTTTATTTCAAACGAAATAAATGCAGCCATAAAACGTTGCTTAATAAGGGCCGGTTTAGAGAATTCCGTAAGAGTGATAGAAATGCCATTGGACACTCTAAAACGCCAGCTAGTTCGCAACCGCCTATATGGACCATCTATGTACAACAAAATGCATAATTTGCCCAAATGGTAGAGACGGTGATTGCATGAGTTCGGGAACAGTCTATCTGATCTCTTGTAAAACGTGCGGAGACGAATACGTTGGCGAAACGGGTAGGTCACTCTGCGTTCGAATAAAAGAACACCTAGTCGGTAAATCTAAATTAAAACCAAACACGCCACTAGGTGCGCACAGGATGCAGGAACACAACGGAGAAGATTTTGAAGTAGGAGTCACCATCCTCACGCACGAATCAAAACATCAGCGCGTAAAACTCTTGAAGCGTTTCGGATCAATTCTAAAAATTCAAAAATGAACCGCAGTGACTTGGCGCCATACCTCGGGCTAATCCAATGACCTGACACACACAGTTATCGCCCTGTGCGGCTGCTATCCACCAACTAGCTTAAATACTTACAACAAATAAACGGTAGGTGTTTAAATGAAGCTGTTTCTTATGCGAATACAAATTTATTTGTTAAGTTTTATCTGCTAGGGTTATGAAAGTGTTTGGCTGGGTAAATCGCATCTCAATTTGACCTTCCCAGGCTTTGAGGAAGGTGAAACCGCCGAAACGTCAGCTATTGTATCCTGATAAATTCTATAGGAACAACCTCGTGTCTGCTTATTAAAGAAAAACATCGAATTTCGCGTGTTGTTTTGGCTGTTGCTTGAAGATTAAGTTTTCTTTATGAATGTCGTCGAGTCGATCCTCCTTGCCATCTTGGATATAGCCGAGGTAGGACGTTCCTATTTGGGTTGAAAGAAAGAGTTGAAGGGTGTCGAACCAGCACTCACTTCCTGATGGACTGGATTAGCGAAACAACTGCGCTATCCACGGTTCAAGATATGTACAGTATAGGACCGTTTCGCTATCCAGTGCATCTTATTTCATCTAGAAGGGGATTAAAGTGAATTATCTCGATACTTTTACATTCACATCACCAGTAAGTCGTCGAAACTTGTCTACAAGGACCACGTCGGTCCGCTTCAAATGCAACAGCCGTTCATAGTAAAGCATGTCACGTCAATGCTATGAGTAATACAGAATTATCTTGTGGACGTATGGGTTTTCTCTTGACTGAGTAGAAATTCTTTGCACGATAGTCAGTGACGCAGCATCGATCGGAGCTGTTATGTCTTGTTATTGCATGCCAATATTAGGAATTAGTCAGAACTCCCTTCCGCTGCAGATTAGCAAGTACGACGTACCTAATGCTTCATACTTAGGTCGCAACACAAGCAGTAGAACGATTCAATCAAGAACATTCACAAGGATGCTGAGCAAAACTCGGAACGTCAATTGCGCTTTGATCCCGCGATTACCCTTTCCGGGGGTTATGTGTTACCTACTGCACCATCAATGCCTTTTCCCTGAGTCAGCTCTTTACCCTGATGGTGCTATCAGCAATCACCCATCAATGGGAATCATCTCGAGAGCACAAATCGCCAATGAATTCAGTTAAACTGAATCTGCAGTCGAAATCTCAATGTTTAACCTTTATTTACTGCCTACTTTTTTCCATGGAAGGGTATCACGCAAATACAACCACAATGATGCTGAGACATGAGCAAAGCTTGGGACCTCAGGTGCGCTTCGAACCCGCGATTACCTTACGGGACTTTGTCGTGAGAAAAAATTGCCAGTAGAACAAGTGATTTTGTTCGTATTTTTTGAGCAAACGCGAGGTGTTATTGTTCTTTGTTCACGATTAAGCTGACGTTTCGGCGAATTTCGCCTTCTTCAGAGCTGGAAAGGTCAAGTTGATAGCAACTCACTCGGCCAAACGCCTCCATAACCAAACAAGGAAACCCCAAACCAAGATTTCAATCACTTTGAACACAGCTTTGCACACTCACCGCTTTCTATGAGGTCTCCACTAAGTATGTCACGTAGAGACCAACCGCACAGAAATCACGTGGAAGTATAATGTGCCCCTCACATCAGAAAAGCAGTTTCCAGTTTTTTTTTCAACACATTCCAGCCCATCTTACGAATACCCAGATGTTTCTGGATCGTCTACGTACTGCGCAGCCCAACAGCGCGTGCGTG